TCAATCTCTTCTTGGGGTGACTCCCACAAAAAGGGTTAGGCTTGCAGGGCAAAGTAATTCCACAGAAGGTCCCCTTCTGCCTTGGAGCGTAAACATAAGAGAAGCCGTGTTGGATCAGGCCAATGGCCCCTCCAGTCCAACACTCTGTCTCACACAGTGGCCAAAACCCAGGGGACATCAGGAGGTCCACCAGTGGGGCCAGACCTCTAGAAGCCCTCCCACTCTTGCCCCCCGAGCCCCAAGGATACAGAACATCACTGCCCCAGACATAAGAACATAAGAGAAGCCATGTTGGATCAGGCCAACAGCCCACGCAGTCCAACACACTGTGTCGCCCGGGAGCCATCAGGAGGTCCACCAGCAGGGCCAGAACTTAAGAAGCTCTCTGACTCTTGCCCCCAAAGCACCAAGGATACAGAGCATCACTGCGCCAGACATAAGAACATAAGAGAAGCCATGTTGGATCAGGCCAACAGCCCACGCAGTCCAACACACTGTGTCGCCCGGGAGCCATCAGGAGGTCCACCAGCAGGGCCAGAACTTAAGAAGCTCTCTGACTCTTGCCCCCAAAGCACCAAGGATACAGAGCATCACTGCCCCAGACATAAGAACATAAGAGAAGACATGTTGGATCAGGCCAATGGCCCCTCGAGTCCAACACTCTGTCTCACACAGTGGCCAAAACCCAGGGGACATCAGGAGGTCCACCAGTGGGGCCAGAACTCCAGAAGCCCTCCCACTGTGGCCTCCCAAGCACCAAGAAGGCAGAGTATCACTGCCCCAGATATAAGAACATAAGAGAAGCCATGTTGGATCAGGCCAGTGGCCCATCCAGTCCAACACTCTGTGTCACACAGTGGCCAAAACCCAGTCAGGAGGTTCCCCAGCAGGGCCAGAACTCCAGAAGCCCTCCCACTGTGGTCCCCCAAGCACCAAGAGTACAGAGCAGACACTGTGTCCCATCTACACCTGGCTAATAGCCACAGACCTATGATCTGTATGTTCATCCAATCCCCTCTTGAAGCTATCTATGCTTGTAGCTGCCACCACTTTCCTGTGGCAGTGAATTCCACGTGCTAATTACTCTGGGTGAAGAAGAACTTCCATTTATCTGTTCTAAACCTACTGCTCATTAATTTCATGGAGTGCCCACAAGTTCTTGGGAGAAAGGGACTTCTAGTGGTTTTCAGCTTGTTTGTCATTCAATAAGTAACTTTGGACAAAGCAGCTTGTGTCCTAGGGCCTATTTCTACTGATCTGCCCACTACAGACACCCAGGTATCTGAAGAAGTGAGCAGTGACTCACGAAAACTCCTTACCTTGCCACAAATTTTGTTACTCTATAAGGTGCTACGGGACTCTTGCTCTTTTCTACTGGTGCCTAATGAACATTGTGGTGTCCTTCCTTATAGGGGAAACGGTTTTACCTTTAAACACTGTGTGTGTATATAAACTTGGTAGTTTTCTGCTGTCACCAAGAATTGAAATTCCAGTTCTCTCTCTTTTGGTAGTATGACCTAGGGTCTGGGCACTTCAGAGGACTATGTGGCCCTGAGGAAGTACTATACTGATTTCTGGGATAAGTTTAAACAAAAATTGATTTATTTAATGAAGAAGAAATTGGTTTCTGGTTATTTTGAACAATTGTCGAAGAAAGGAACTTGTAAATATAACTGGCAAAGCTTGGTGCTACAGTCTCTCAAACTCCATTCTGACATGCTTATACATTCAGTATAATCTCTCATCTATATAGATATATATCGCCACACAGGCTAGTCTCTTTGTTTTATTCACTCAGAATAGGATCAACTCTCTTAGTCACACAGACTAAACTCTTGGTTTTATTCACTCAGGAATAGACTCCAAATCTTATAATCACACAGACTATGCTCACTCTTCAAACTTCACACACAGAATCCTTCATAACTTCAAAACTCTCCCATCCTTGTCTTTCTTATATCACCGAATCTCCTCATACCCACACACACACAGAATCCCCTCAGACACCCCTCCTCTCACAGTCAGCAGCCAATCAAATTACACTTGTCACCCTGTATCACTCTTCTCATATCACTGCCGTCAAACTAAACATTTAAAGGAACACACACATCAAAACATGGAATCATTAAAAACATGCTTGCAAAAAGTTCAAATAACTTTTTGGCAATGCTCCCTCTGAGCTGTGGAGTCTGGTGAGCAAAAATTCTACTTTGTGAGCTACTGGCATTAAAGTTATGAGCGAGCAACTTGGCTGCTGCATAAATTAGTTTGCTCTGGAGCCCTCCTCCCTGAGCGAAGACATAAATGTGTGAGCCGGAGGCTAAAAAAACTGTGAGCTAGCTCACACTAACTCAGCTTAGAGGGAACACTGCTTGTTGGTGCATTTCCCCCCATAAGGGCTGAGAAGTCGTCTTATTATGACACTGAAAGACGCCTGAGGTTCTTGGGGAAATGGGACTGCATCCCAGACCATTTTCTTCACGTGCTCTGCTGCCTGGCAGAATTTTGAAATACACACCTGGATGGCCGTGGACTGGTCAGGTTTCTTCACTGCCTGTTAGTCCAGGCAGTCAAGCCACACCTAGGCAAAGCTGCATGTGCAGTGTGGTGCACGCTAGAGGAACATTACCACAATGGGTGTCCTCCGTTTGCCCAAAATGATGTCTGCCACAGTTCAGCAACATGCTGTGGTCCACCGTGTGACCGCCCCCCCCACCGTCTGGGAGTAGGAAGCAGACAGCCTACAATCCCCACAATGCTTGGGGATGGTTTTTAGCCAATCAGAGTACAGGGATTCGAGGCCTCAGTGAGGGGGACAGGCTGGGCTGGGGGCGGGGGGGGGGGGCAAGACGCCCACTGGCTGGTCTGGGGGCGGGGGGGGGGAAAGATCCCCCACTTGGCTCAGCGTAAGTGTTAGGCAGGAGGCCTGGGAAGAAGGCTGTAGGCCTGAAGTAGTCACGAGTCAGGTTTTACTTTGCCTTTGAAACCCTGTTATACCTTATTAAAGCTCCTTGCCTTATTTTGCCTTGCCCCTAGTATTGTTCTTAATAAACCATTGTTAAGTATTCTCTGCCTCGGTCAGCATGCTCACGTTCCTCGGCTGCGAAAGCAGCAATTTGAAGGGGCCTGGGAAGGTACCCTGGGACTTCTCACGGGACCGAAGTCCAGGGTGGTGGCAGCAGAAGGCGGCGGCCACCTGGGGTCATTTTTTTTTAACAGATAATTTTTATTCTTTTTCCTAAAGTGCAAAGATTTATGAGGTAAGCATGAGCATAGTCAGCTCTCAATGGCTTCATACATTTCGTACAGTTTGTCGGTATTCTACAGTTTGAAAATTACCATAGATGCAGAGTGTTTATTGTGAGAGCCAGTTTGGTATAGTGGTTAAGTGTGTGGACTCTAATCTGGGAGAACTGGGTTGGGTTCCCCACTCCACTTGCACCTGGCTGGATGACCATGGGCAAGCCGTAGTTCTGACAAGAGCTGTTCTTCAAAAAGAGCAGTTTCTGTCAAGCGCTCTCTCAGCCCCACCTGCCTCACAGGGTGTCTGTGGTGGGGAGGGGGAGGGAAAGGAGTTTGTAAGCCGCTCTGAGACTCCTTCGGGGAGTGAAGGGCGGGGTATACATCCAATCTCTTCTTCTTCTAAACAACAAAGATTTACAAGGTAAGCATGAGCCTAGTCAGCTCTCAAATGGCTTCATACATTTCATACAGTTTGTCGGTATTATACAGTTTGAAAATTACCATAGATGCAGAGTGTTTATTACATCAGGTACTGTTTCTTTGGTAGATAGATGTACTAGTATGGGGTACCATATACATACAATGTCGTTCTGATCGCCTCTAGATAGATTTTGTTTCAGAGTATCTGAGATTTTCTCCGTTCTATAAAGGTTCCATCGCTTTTTGTACCAGAGGTTTACATTTAGCCTACTCGTGGATTTCCACGTGGCTGCTAATGTGGTTTTGGCTGCAAATAGTAATAGAGAGATTCTTTTCCTTCGTGTATTAGATAGAGCATTTTCCTCTCTGAGATTTAAAACCAGAGCTTCCGGGGATTTGTCTATCTTGATTTTGGTTATGATCGTTATTTCTTCTATTGTTTTGTCCCAGAAGGATGCTACCTCCAGGCAATCGTACCAGCAGTGTATGTAACTGCCTATTTCCTTACACCCCCTCCAGCAAAGTGGGCTTGAATTATTTGCAAGGTATATTTGTTGAGGTCATGATGACCCCTGGGGTCATGACACTTCCTAACGCAGGAGACAGCGGAGAGGTTGATGTATCGATTGTTTTTCTTAAAAACACTGATTAAGCAGCCTTTCTTCCTTAGGGGAGCTGGAGGCAGCTTACAAACACAGCTGAAACGCATAAAATGGAAAACGTTAAAGCAGGGCTTTTTTTGTAGAAAAAGCCCAGCAGGAACTCATTAGCATATTAGGCCACACCCCTGACAGCACAGCTCATTGGCATCCAGCCACACCCACCTTTTGCTTCTTATTCTGTTTACCTTGTTTGTTGTCAAAACCCAGGGCCTTTTTTTGTAGCAGGAACTCCTTTGCATGTTAGGCTACACACCCCTAATGTAGCCAATCCTAGTGAGTTTCTGCTGTTGGGTGTGGCCTATTATGCTAATGCGTTCCTGCTGGGCGTGGCCAACTTGGGAGCCAGCCGGAACTTCATTCCTGTGCGTTCCTGCCCAAAAATAGCCCTGCGTTAAAGACATAAGAACCCCTAATTTAAAATCACAACTCAAGACTGCTAGTAAACTTTAACCAAATGCAGTCCCAAATAAAACCATCTTGAGCTGCCTTCGAATGATTGACAGTGAAGGGAGCCAGGCACATTGTTCCATAATCGTGTGGGGCTGCCTCTGAGAAGGCCCTTTTCTCACGTACCCACCAGATGAGCTTCATTGAGTGACGGGACAAATCGGGTTGTCTTAGCTCCTTCTCCACTCTTGCTTTGCATTCAGAGAACTTGGAAGGATGGTTGAAGACTCAGAGCTCGCGCTGGGCCTTTGGCGCTAGCTTTAGATTCACCTCCACAGGGTAGTGGTCACTGATTTCTAGGGCCTGCAGACCAGAAAAGAGAGGTTGTTGGCAATCCAGATCTCACTGCGTCAGGCCCGTAGCTATGGTGGGGCTTTGGGAGGCTCTGCCCTCTTTCTTAAAGGCACAGCCCCACAAGAATTTCTCCTGTTAATGCTTTTTTTCAACCATTTTTAAACATTTTTTTAAAGGCATGCGCTCCTTTAAGCAGAGTGGGGTGCCATCGTTGACTAATTCCCACACTGAGCAAGGGGGTTGGAGTAGGTGACCTCTAGGATCCCTTCTAACTCTATATCAAGAAACCAGTCTCCTTTAAGAGAGTTTTTCTGCCTAAGTGTCAGTTTTCTTGACTCTAGAAGTCATCACCCCCACCTGCCCGCTTGTTCTCAGAATTGTGACTTAGGCTGGCAGTAGTGATTAACTTGCAGCAGCTGAGGACTGTCATCTCAAGTGGTTGACAGCTTGCAGTTTAGAGTTCTGTCCTGGGAACAACTTTCTGTTGGCTGAATGGCTTTTCTTTCTACACTGAGTAGTTTTTCAGCCCCACCAGGGGGAAAAATTGCCCCACGAGCCACAAGATCCTGGCTACGGGCCCGCGCTGCGTGCATGCCAGCAGTTCCTGCAGATTACGGATGCCAGCCTCCAGGTGGAACCTGGGAATCCCCTGGAATTCCAGCTCATCTCCAGACTACAGAGATCAGTCTCCCCTGGAGAAAATGGCTGCTTTGGAAGTTGGCCTGAATGGCACTGGACCAGGAGTCCTCAACCTTTCTGAGCCTGAGAACGCATCTGGGGATTCTGACACGGCCTAGTGAGTGCAGCAACAAAATGGCTGCCACGGCCAATGTTCCCTCTAAGCTCTGCATTCTTGTGAGCAAAAATTCTACTCTGTGAGCTACTGGCATTAAAGTTGTGAGTTAGCGATTTGGCTACTGCATAAATTAGTCTGCTCTGGAGCCCTCCTTCCTGAGCGAGGACAAAAATGTGTGAGCCAGAGGCTAAAAAACTGTGAGCTAGCTCACACTAACTCAGCTTAGAGGGAACACTGGCCACGGCTTAACTTTAGTAGCGCAGTGTAGCTCTTTGGGCTGGGGTGGCCGCTGCCACCAAAGCAACATTTTTTAAAAAGCTGCCAATCAAATCTCCAACAGCCAATCAGATGCCTTGCCGGGCCTAAGCCCTACTTGGCCCCACCTGCTTCCTAAAAACGCTTGGTGGGTGCCATGGCGCCCACGGGCACCATGTTGGGGACACCTGCTCTAGTGCAACATTACAGCATATTGAATAAGGTCCTTCCCCTCCCCTCCCCTCCCCAAACCTACCCTCCCTAGTCTCCACCCCCCCCCAAATCTCCAGGACTTTCTCCACAGAGCTGGCAACCCTCGATGCTGCATTTATTTAGGAGGGTGACCGAGCCAACTCACCTCTTCTTCAGAGAGTCCGAGCGCGTGCGTGAAATTGAAGGGCTTGGCCGACCTGGCCACAACGGCCCCGAGGAGCTCGTCTCCGTGGACGATGATCCTAACAGTGAACACAGAAGAGGGGTAAGTTCTTCACCCAAAGAGTCATTTGCACGTGGGATTCACTGCCACAGGAAGTGGTGGAGGCTACCCACACAGACAGCTTCAAGAGGGGATTGGATAAACCTATGGAGCAGAGAGCCATCAGTAGCTCTTAGCCACAAGGTATAGATGAAGCACTCTGTCTGGGGCAGTGACACTCTGTATTCTTGGTGCTGGGGGGGGCAGAATTGGGAGGACTTCAGGAGTTCTGGCCCCACTGGTGGACCTCATGATGGCCCCCTGGGTTTTGGCCACTGTGCGACACAGAGTGTTGGACTAGAGGAGCCACTAGCCTGATCCAACACTGGCTTCCCTTATGTACTCTTATATTCCTCAGTTTGCAGTGATGGGATCTGTTTTTGGGCCTTAGCATGGAGGCTAAGGGGAACTGATCTTTGTAGTCTAGAGATGAGCTGGAATTCTGGGGGATCCCCAGGTCCCACCTGGAAGCTGGCATCCCTGAACCTCAGTGGGGCACAAGGCCACAGAGTCCCCCCTCCAAAGCAGCCATTTTCTCCAGGGGAAACTGATCTCTGTAGTCTGGAGATGAGCTGGAATTCCGGGGGATCCCCAGGCCCCACCTGGAGGCTGGCATCCCTGGACCTCAGTGGGGCACAAGGCCACAGAGTCCACCCTCCAAAGCAGCCGATCTCTGCTGTCTGGAGAGGAGCTGGAACTCCGCCTGGAGGCTGGCATCCCTCAAACTCCCACACCCACGATGCCAGACAGGCTGGCCCATTTGTGTTAGGGAAAGTAATCTTTGGGTCAGGCTTCTTTCTCTTCCTTTGGCTGCAACCTGAACGTGAACTGGATCTCGAATCACTGGAAATATCGCGCTACTGTGATTGAGCAAAACTCCGCTCCATTAACCGAATATCCCCATTGATGCCCTGCGGGAAGCTTCGTATAGTGGATGGTGAAGGAATTAAAAGAGCTTTTATAAAGTACTATGGAAATCTATTTCGAAAGAAATTGATAGACAAAGAGAAAATAAGAAAGTACTTAGATAAAACAAAGATGCCAAGGATTTCAGAGGATATCAAAGTGATGTTAAATAGTCCCATTACAAAAGAAGAGATTTACAAAGCGATTCAGGAGGCGAAATTGGGGAAGGCTCCGGGACCAGACGGCTTTACAGTAAAGTTTTACAAGAAATTTAAAGAGGAGTTGGTACCGACTTTCGAACTTCTGACAAATGAAATTAGAAAATCAAAAACAATACCGGATTCATGGAAAGAAGCAACAATCTCTCTTATTCCCAAAGAAGCACAAGACTTGATAAATGTGAAAAATTATAGACCAATTTCGCTATTGAACAATGATTATAAACTATTTGCGAAAATCATATTGGAGAGACTGAAGTTATATTTAAAGGATGCCATTGAAGAAGAACAGGCTGGCTTTTTACCAAACAGGCAGATAAAAGATTTTCAAGTGGAGGCTGGGTGACCATCTTTCGGGTATGTTGTCGGGCTCTCTTTCGGCTATGCTCCTGTAGACTGCAGGGGGTTGGACTAGATGACCTGCAAGGTCCCTTCCAACTCTAACATTCTATGATTCCATATGCTGTTAGCTGCCCCAAGTCCTCTTGTTTGGGGGAGAGGGAATCTCTCCTTATATATAATTGAATAGTGGGTGCCAAAGTTCTAATTCTAAAATGCACTCCCTTAGTGTATGGCTGATGGCACTGCTCCTCAGCATATATCGCCACCAATCAGAAGGCAAAGCCCGGGTCCTGCCCACACCACAACTGCTGCGACAACCTGGTCTTTTGCATATGGAAGCTGATTGGACTTCACTCCATTCCACACCTCAAAATCCCCCCCCCGCAAGGCAGTTGGAGTGTCAGTTGCATATGGAACCTGCTGTATTCTGGTGGTGTGCAGGTCCCATGTTCATGTTTTAAAAGCAGACTGACACTGTTTGCCCAAAGCCAGAGCACTCTCTCAGAGCATCTTTCTAGATCCCGTTGTATTTATTTCCACAACGGGCCTTATTTCTAGTTGGTAATAAATACGGAAGTGACAGAGCATTTTAAAGTACAAAAAGGGACGAGACAAGGATGCCCGTTATCTCTGTTATTTATATGGATACTGGAAGTACTGCTGGGACAGATCAGAGAAGATAAAGAAATTAAGGGACTAACCAACAAAGGATTTTCTTATAAGTATAGAGCCTTTGCAGATGATGTGATGTTTATGGTAGAAGATCCTGTACTGAGGTTACCATTGCTTCTGGAGAGGATAAAAGACTTTGGAGACTTAGCAGGGTTTTATGTAAACAAAACTAAATCCAAGGTGATGTGTAAAAATATGAAGAATGGAAAGCAGGAGGAACTGCAGAGGATGTTACAGTGTGAAGTTGTCAAAAAGACTAAATATTTAGGTATTGACTTGACAATGAAGAATATAGATCTTTTAAAGAACAATTATGATAAACTTTGGTCTAAAATCCAGCAGGATATACAAAAATGGAATGCCTTAAATTTGTCGCTTTTGGGGAGAATTTCAGTGGTAAAAATGAATATTTTACCATGTTTGATGTTTTTATTCCAGACAATCCCAATAGTGAGAGATGTAAAAATACTGAATGCCTGGCAGAAAGAAATTTCAAAATTTGTTTGGGCAGGAAGGAAACCAAGGATTAAGATGAAAATATTATGCGATGCGAAGGAAAGAGGTGGACTTCAATTACCAAATTAAAGATTGTATCATGAAGCGGTTTGTTTAACTTGGCTGCAACAATGGATTACACTGGATAACAGAAAACTGTTGGCGTTAGAAGGTCATGACTGTAAGTTTGGTTGGCACGCGTACTTATGGTATGGGAAAATGAAAATGGATAGTTTTTTTAAGCACCATTATATAAGAAGAACATTATTTGATACTTGGACTAAATACAGAAGGTACTTTTCAGACGAGAGACCACTTTGGACAGTACCGGCAGAGGTACTTAAACTGCATTCGTTTCATAAAGGAGAAGATTGGTTGCAATATAGAGACATTTTGAAACCTGTGGGTAAGATGTTTGAAATGAAAGCGGTAGAGGATATGGACTTTAAGTATGATTGGTTGCAGTATAGACAGATTTATGACTTGTTTAAAACAGATAAAAGAGTTTATGGGTTTAGGAAAAAGAATAATGAAATTGAAAACGTTTGGGTTGAGGGAGGGAAAAAGTTGATATCTAAGATGTATAAGATACTGTTATTATGGTATACGGAAGATGAGACAGTTAAAGAGCAAATGATAAAATGGGCAGTGAATATGAACAAAGAAATTGATATGGAAACCTGGGAATTTCTATGGAAAAATGCTATGAAAATATCAACGTGTAATAGTTTAAAAGAAAACTGCTATAAAATGATGTATAGATGGTATATGACACCGAAAAAGATTGCAAATATGAATAGTAATATGTCAAACAAACGTTGGAAATGTAAAAAAGTAGAAGGGTCTTTTTATCATATGTGGTGGGGGGGGCGGCTTCGTCGCGTCCCCCGCCACGGGACTCGAACGCTGGTCTCGTTCCGGCCATTCCAGCCCCGCCGCATCTCCCGCCCGTCGCTCAATGCATTAAATCCTTTCTCCGCCTCTCCTTTCCTTCTCCCCAGTAGCTGTTTTCCCTATAACATTCCTCGATCCTCCGTTATCTCCCCTTTCGATCTTCCCGTAGCTTCCCCAAATTCACGGGGGATGACGTGGGTGTAAAGACAGCTGGAGGGGAAGGGAAGTCCTTCTGTGTGACGGAGGGGCAGATCCGACATGCGGCACAGCATCAGGAACGTCTGCACTGAAGGTTTGCTTGGGACAAATCTGTTCCGGGACTTGCTGCCGTTGCCGCGGCCCATAGCCTCCCCATTCTTCTCCTGGCGGAACCGGCGTCATTCTGCTTCCTAACGTAATGTGGTGTACATATCTCTCAGGTTTTGGTCCCCCCCCCCCCCCCCCCCTTTTTGTTTTGCTGGGTAGTGAAGGGCGGGGTATAAATCCAAACTCCTCCTCCTCCTCCTCTTCTTCTCCCCCCCTCCCGAGGTCCCCCCCGAAAAAAATAAATCTCCATGTATTTCCCAACCCAGAGCTGGCAACCCAGCCAATATTGTCATTGGCCCTCCTCCCTGGTGTTTTTATTGAATTATTTTATCATTTTAAATACTGCTTTCAGTTGTTCAAATATTTTTATGGTCGCCAACCTGGGGACCCTGATTGGGTGGGAAAGTGGCATAAAATCCCGAATCACGGCCTCTTTTCCCACGCTTCCTCTGTCTCCTAGCGAGATGGAGACAGGAGGCTCTGGGAGGGCGATTTCCCGGGTCCCTGTTGTGGTGGGAAACTGAGTCACACCTGTGTTGGGAGAATGGAAGCGGGCGGCGAAAGGGCCCCTGGCGAAGGCCTCAAACGGACCGGAATCCTCTTCCCCAAACTGGCACCAGTCGGTAACGGAGACCACATCCATCCTGTCAAGGAGAAACAAGGGCAGTAGAAGGAAGGCCGGGGAAGTTGAAATTGATAAGAATTAATGATTGCTACACACTCAGACGAAGCAATCCTCGTGAAACGGGTTTTTCTTTGCGCAAAGTCCGTTGCGCGTGAGCGATAACAGAAGAGAGTTTACAACAGAATCACAACTATTGCAGTAAACTATTTTGCACATATACCTTTATTGACCCTTTGTTATTTTTGTTACGGGTGTTGTGTTTGGATTTCCAGTCTCCAGGTTGTAGCTGGAGACCCCCCTCTGTTGATCTCCAGGTGACAGAGATCAGTTCCCCTGGGGAAAATGGCTGCTGTGGAGGGTGGACTCTGTGGCATTATAGCCCATCGAAGTCCCTCCCCAGACCCCGCCCTCCTCGGCCTCCACCCCAAACTCTCCAGGTGTTTCCCAGCCCGCCTCTGGTAGCCCTGAGAGAGAGCCCTGATGTGGTGGGGGTCAAGGCTCCCTCTAAGCTGTGGAGTCCTGTGAGCAAAAATTCTACTTGGTGAGCTCCTGGCATTAAAGCTGTGAGCGAGCCAGTTGGCTCCTGCATCAATAAGTTGGCTCCTGAGCCATCCTTCCTGAGCAAAGAAAAAAAAATGTGTGAGCCGGAGGCTAAAAAACTGTGAGCTAGCTCACACTAACTCAGCTTAGAGGGAACACTGGTGGGGGTTCCTGACTCACGTTACCGATAGACGAAGACATTCTGCTCCTTGTAGCTGCCACGCCCCAGTCTCTTGCTCTCCAGGCAGCTGTAGTGATGGGAAGGATCATACCTGCTGGCCAGAAGAGAGAGCCCGTGATGCCTCTTCGCCCGCCCTGTCCTCTGGTTGCCTGGGAGGATGGCCAGCAGGCCACTCCCAAAAGAACATTCTCTGCATATATACTTTTTGTTAGCATTCTCCCAAGTTCTTATCTAGAAGCCTGGCTTGTCCTTCTCGGCCACTGGATGCCAGGCGCAAGATATGGCTCGGCTTCGCCCAGGGTTTAGATATGTAGCTTTGACTGATGAAGGAAGTGGTGGCAGCCACCAGCACGGACGGCTTCAAGAGGGGGCTGGATAGACATCTGGAGCAGAGGTCCATCAGTGGCTCTGAGCCACAAGGGATAGATAGGAACTCTCAGTCTGGGGCAAGGGATGCTCTGTCTTCTTGGTGCTTGGGGGGGGCAACAGTGGGAGGGCTTCTGGAGTTCTGGCCCCACTGGTGGACCTCCTGAGGGCACCTGGGATTTGGGCATTGTGTGACACAGAGTGTTGGACTGGATGGGCCATTGGCCTGATCCAACATGTCTTATCTTATGTTCTTATGTCTGGGGCAGTGATGCTCTGTATTCTTGGCGCTTGGTTTAGAATCACAGTTTGTAGGGGAAAACCAACATTGGCTAATCTGTGCGTCTCCATGTATACATCACAGGATTTTCCATGCAAGAAGAGGAGAGCAAGGTGGGAAGTTCCGGTCACCACACCTCAAAAAGGAGATTGTAGCATTGGAGAAAGTACAGAAAAGGGCAACTAGAATGATAAAAGGGTTGGAACACTTTCCCTGTGAGGAAAGGTTAAAGCGCTGGGGGCTCTTTAGCTTGACAACATGGCTTCTCTTACGTTCTTATGCCTGGGGCAGTGATGCTCTGTATTTTTGGTGCTGGGGGGGCAACAGGAGGAGGGCTCCTGGAGTTCTGGCCCCACTGGTGGACCTCCTGATGGCCCCTGGCTTTTGGCCACTGCATGACACAGAGTGTTGGACTGGATGGGCCATTGGTCTAATCCAACATGGCCTCTCTTACGTTCTTATATGCTTGACTTGTAGCCAGCAATTAGGATATAAAATGTTTAGTTTTAGCTATGTATCTGGTCTTGGGTTTGGCTAGTTTCGCTGTGTGTTTGAGGCCCGGCGGATGAAAGTTAGCCTGCTACTGCTGTAAGTTCTGATCATTTCTTAAAATCTCCTTGTATGCAAACCTGGATCTTGCTGATAATTTTTGTGGGATTGCTGCAAACCTCGGAGCTTCTGGCCAGGGCTGCAAACTGGTGGCAGCTGCTGCCAAAGCCACATTAGGTTGAAGGGGGGTGTAGAGGTGGTAGCGGGAAGTTCAGTGAAAATGTCAATTCAAGAGTGCGGACCTCTGAGGAAGGTAGTCCAATCCAAAGCCTTTTGTTGGCATATAAAAAAAACAGCAACAACTGCTTAGCCAATCAGAACCCTTAATGGAAAAAGCCCCACCTGGCCCCGCCCACCATGTTTGGGACCTCTGCACTAGATTTGGTCTACACAGGCATCAGAGGGAGATGGAAGAATAGACTGTAACACTTCAGAGTAAATAAATAAAGAATGTCAAACGCACACACACAGTTTTGGTTGTTCCTCAGCCCGCTCCTTGGTGCGCTAGCTTTCTGCTTGCAAGGGGAGCATCCTATATGCAGAGGTCATTTTGGGGGGATTGCGAGGTAAAAGTCTGCTCTAGGGATTATTAGGAAAGGGATGGAAAAGAAGAAGTTGTGTGTTCTAATAGATCCAGCACGTCGCCTCACGGGAATACTCTAGTTTTCTGATTACCGTGTCTCAAGGTGTTGTAGAAGAGGTCAGCTGAGATTATTTAAAAACATCTTTCTTGTGCAGAAAGGCCAAACATATCTTGGGGGGCACGATAAGAGGATCATAAAACTGAGGGGTGGGGAAGGTGGAGCGATTTTTTTTCTCCCCCTTTGGTAAGACTTGAACTTGATGGCCAGTGAAGTTGATGGGCAGCGCATTCAGATCAACAATAATATAATAATATAATATTTCAATTTATTAATCGTTATGCTAATGAGTTCCCCTAGCTCTTTTTCTACGAAACGACCCCTGCCTATATGTGATACGTCACACCAGCAAGCCTGAAGTGCTACCGTCAGCTCAACCCCTTCATTCTGCTGCTGTTGCAGACCCTGGAAAGGCATAGAATTACCTGCTGTTACCTGTTCAGTTCCTGCAGGAGTATCCGAATCGCTGAGCCTTTAGCGTCGCGGACCTCTTGCACGGCTGAGATATCGCAGCGAGAAAGGATCTGGCAGTGGGAGAGCAGTAGACAGGTCAAAGCTGGCCGCCAGGTCCAAACTTCGTGCCACGTTCCTCCGCTGTTGAGAAGTTCTGGGTGTTGTGTTCCCGTGGAGCGAGCATGGTGGTGGTGGAAAGCACCGTCAAGTCGCAGCCGAGTTATGGTGACACATAGGGTTTTCAAGGCAAGAGACTTCAGAGGTGGGTTGCCTTTGCCTGCCTCTGCGTAGCAACCCTGGACTTCCTCGTTGGTCTCCCACCCCCGTACTAACCAGGGCCGACCCTGCTTTTGCCGTTTCCTCTGGGGACAACTGAGCTCTGTAGCCTGGCAGTTGTAGTCCTGGGAGAACAGTAGCCGCTTGAGGGTCCGGCAACCCCACCTCCCTGTGAACCAGACACAGACTCACCTAGGGTCCCCTGGCCACGGGTGGGGGATTGGGGTGGGGGCGGGGTTGCCAAATCCAGGTTGGGAAACTCCTGTAAATGGGGGGGAGCCCCGGGAGGACAGAGACCTCGGGGGGGGGAGTACAATGCCACCGAGCCCCCCCTCCAAAGCATCCATTGTCTCCAGGGAAACCAATCTCTGTAGCCTGGAGATGAGCTGTCATTCCAGAGCTGTCATCCCCACCTGGAGGCTTAGCATCCCTCGACTCACCTGGACCAGGGCTCCCATGACCTTCCGGTTTGCAGCTTTCGCCTTCCCAAAGCTGCGGATGTTGAAAGCGCAGATTTTGAAGGTGGAGGCCGCGAGCTGCGCCCCCAGCAGGATCAGCAGAAAGGCGAAGGCTCTTCCCATAGCCCCGATGCACCCTATGCTTCCTGGATCAGGAGGCGAACGCCGGCCAGAGGGCTTTCCTGCAGCATCAGCAGCCGGGCAGGGCAGGGCAGGGGCTTTTGTGCCGGCCGCTCGTGGAGAAAGTGCTGGGCTGGAGTGGCCTGGTCGCGGACAATGAGGGGAATGGACCCGCAGCAGCCCCATCCCCACCCACCCTTTCTTTCTATTGCTTTTCTAGAGCCAGCCGTAAAAGACCTTTCAAAGTAGGGCCCACTTGCTACAAAGGCAGCGTCAGGATTTTTCTGCAAGGGCCCCTTTGACACGAATTGCCTGCGGATCGAACGAAAGCACCCCTGACCTACCGAATGACTGTTGGAAGTGTCCAAAAAAATGTCGGTTTCTTTTTTCATATGCAAGACGGAGCTCTTCCGCCAGGCTTTTGAATAGGAGCCGCCACTGCCACTATTCCGTCGCCGCTGTACTGTTACACCATTTACCCCTATTGTGCGGGGTATGCGTCGCCTGGTGGAAGCGGGCAGAACATCATCACTGGAGTCCTCGCCAGGGCTATTTTTGTCCCGCCCGAACCCCTAGGGGGCCTCTGAGCGGCTTACACAATTATTTGGTTTTTTTGTAGCAGGAACTCCTTTGCATGTTAGGCCACACACCCCTAATGTAGCCAATCCTAATGAGTTTCTGCTGTTGGGTGTGGCCTGTTATGCTAATGAGTTCCTGCTGGGCGTGGCCAACTCAGGAGTCAGCCGAAACTCCGTTCCTGTGCGTTCCTGCCCAAAAATAGCCCTGGATCTATATATAGGATAACATCAGAGCACCTTAAACATTGTTTATGGGATTTTATTGTGGTTGTTTAACGCTGTTTTATTGTATTTTATCTATTTAGTTCTGGCACTAGCCATATGTTAGCCACCCTGAGCCGTTAGGAAAGATGGGATATAAATCCAAAATAAATAAAATATGTGGTGGACGTGTGACAGAGTTAAAAAACATTGGTCTTGGATTCATGAATTGTTATGAAGAATGTTAAAATGTACTATACCTTATATACCAGAATTGTTTTTATTGGATATATTACCAGAAAATTATTAAAAAGCAAGATTCTTATCTTATTATATATGTAGTGATGGCTGCAAGCAGGGCTATTTTAGGGCAGGAACACACAGGAACGGAGTTCCAGCTGGCTTCTGAGTTGGCCATGCCCAGCAGGAGCTCATTAGCATAATAGGCCACACCCAACAGCAGAAACTCATTGGAATTGGCTACATCAGGGGTGTGTGGCCTAACATGCAAAGGAGTTCCTGCTACAAAAAGAGCCCTAGCACCGTTTTGACAACAAACAAGGTAAACAGAATAAGAAGCAAAAGGTGGGTGTGGCTGGATGACCACACTTCTGGTAAAATGGGGGTATGGCCTAATATGCTAATCAGCTGTACTATCAGGGGTGTGGCCTAATATGCTAATGAGTTCCTGCTGGGCTTTTTCTACAAAAAAAGCCCTGGCTGCAAGAATATTATATGCCAAATATTGGAGAAAGAATGAAGTACCCTCAAAAGAAGAAATCTTAAATAAAATACTTGAAACTGCAGAGATGGACAAATTAACTTTAATCTTGAGAGGACTAAATGAACAAGAATTCGAGAATGCATGGTCAAGGTTTTATAAATGGATGGAAGAATACAATAAATAAAACATATGGACATACAACCGAATCGGAAGAAAATGTGAACAATATTTTTAGTTATGAGCAAAGTTTTATTCAAACTTACATGGTGGGGGGAAATTTAAAAAAGCAAAATATAGACTTAGATAGTGTTTATTTTTGTTTTTTGTTGTTGTTTTATGAAAATGAAATTGTTTTTAAAAAGAAAAGAAAAACGAAAACACGCCACCTCGTTCCCTTTTATTCCTTTGTTCTTTGATTGAACTTTTCAGAATTGTCTGCTGGGACAAATGCGTGGTACAGTGGAGGTTCAACTGTGGGGCTTGTTGCATGTGGGGTGGGGCTTGTTGCATGTGCCCCCCCCCCCGGGCTCTTTACTGCCGGAGCTCCGCTCCTGTGCGCTCCTGCAGGAAATGACCCCTGCATCCAAGTACTAATCAGGGCCATCTCTGCTTACCTTCCAAGACCTGGCGAGGGTGGGTCTGACTGAGACATCCAGGTCAAGGCGAGAGACTCTCCGAGGTGGTTTGCTATTGCCTGCCTGTGAATAGCAACCCTGGAATTCCTCGGCGGAAGTCCTAACCAGGGCCGACCTTGCTTACCTTCTGTGACTGGGCAAGATCAGGCTAGCCTGGGCCATCCAAATCAAAACAAGAGACAAACAGAGGTGGTCTTGCCCTTGCCTGCCTCTGCATAGCGACCCTGGACTTCCTTGGTGGTCTCCCCTCCAAGTAGTAACTAGGAGTGAAGCTGCTTAGCGCCCAAGATCTGATGCGATTTGTCTACCCTTGGCTATCCAGGTCAGGGCAGAGACAAAGAGACAAACAGAGGTGGTCTTGCCCTTGCCTGCCTCTGCGTAGTGACCCTGGACTTCCTTGGTGGTCTCCCCTCCAAGTAGTAACTAGGAGTGAAGCTGCTTAGCGCCCAAGATCTGATGCGATTTGTCTACCCTTGGCTATCCAGGTCAGGGCAGAGACAAAGAGACAAACAGAGGTGGTTTTGCCCTTGCCTACCTCTGCATAGTGACCCTGGACTTCCTTGGTGGTCTCCCCTCCAAGTAGTAACTAGGAGTGAAGCTGCTTAGCGCCCAAGATCTGATGCGATTTGTCTACCCTTGGCTATCCAGGTCAGGGCAGAGACAAAGAGACAAACAGAGGGGGTTTTGCCCTTGCCTGCCTCTGCGTAGTGACCCTGGACTTCCTTGGTGGTCTCTCCTCCAAGTACTAACTAGGAGTGAAGCTGCTTAGCGCCCAAGATCTGATGCGATTTGTCTACCCTTGGCTATCCAGGTCAGCGCAGAGACAAACAGAGGGGGTTTTGCCCTTGCCTACCTCTGCATAGTAACCCTGGACTTCCTTGGTGGTCTCTCCTCCAAGTACTAACTAGGAGTGAAGCTGCTTAGCGCCCAAGATCTGATGCGATTTGTCTACCCTTGGCTATCCAGGTCAGCGCAGAGACAAACAGAGGGGGTTTTGCCCTTGCCTACCTCTGCATAGTAACCCTGGACTTCCTTGGTGGTCTCTCCTCCAAGTACTAACTAGGAGTGAAGCTGCTTAGCGCCCAAGATCTGATGCGATTTGTCTACCCTTGGCTATCCAGGTCAGCGCAGAGACAAACAGAGGGGGTTTTGCCCTTGCCTACCTCTGCATAGTAACCCTGGACTTCCTTGGTGGTCTCTCCTCCAAGTACTAACTAGGAGTGAAGCTGCTTAGCGCCCAAGATCTGATGCGATTTGTCTACCCTTGGCTATCCAGGTCAGCGCAGAGACAAACAGAGGGGGTTTTGCCCTTGCCTACCTCTGCATAGTAACCCTGGACTTCCTTGGTGGTCTCTCCTCCAAGTACTAACTAGGAGTGAAGCTGCTTAGCGCCCAAGATCTGATGCGATTTGTCTACCCTTGGCTATCCAGGTCAGCGCAGAGACAAACAGAGGGGGTTTTGCCCTTGCCTACCTCTGCATAGTAACCCTGGACTTCCTTGGTGGTCTCTCCTCCAAGTACTAACTAGGAGTGAAGCTGCTTAGCGCCCAAGATCTGATGCGATTTGTCTACCCTTGGCTATCCAGGTCAGCGCAGAGACAAACAGAGGGGGTTTTGCCCTTGCCTACCTCTGCATAGTAACCCTGGACTTCCTTGGTGGTCTCTCCTCCAAGTACTAACTAGGAGTGAAGCTGCTTAGCGCCCAAGATCTGATGAGATCAGTCCAGCCTGGGCCATCCAGGTCGAGGCAAGAGACGATCAGAGGTGGTTTTGCCCTTGCCTGCCTCTGCGTAGCAACCCTGGACTTCCTTGGTGGTCTCTCATCCCAGTAGTAACTAGGAGTGAAGCTGCTTAGCATCCAAGACGTGATGAGATCAGCTAACCTGGGCCATTCAGGTCAGACCAAAAGGGAAATGCGATTGGTTAATACAGCATTAACACCCACCTATCCAAGACGTAATCTGCACAAAGCAGACTGTCTTTGCAGGCTACACGGAGTTCTTCATACAAACCGGAAGCCTTACTGAGGGCAGTCCAGGCAGGACTAGAACTATTGTACCTTTCCCACTGAAATCAAATACTCCTTAGAACTTTGACGGAAGAGTCTCCAAAAATTTTATTGGCAGCCATGCAAATGGGAAAGCACAAACACATCCGGAGCACCGGAAAAGAAACACAATGAAGTTCCAGGAAAGCTCTGGCTTCACATCAGTCAGCAAACATCGTTGTTAGATAAAGCATTATAGGTATTCACTGCTTAACACACACAATGCACTTTCCATCTCCTTCTAACGAGAGAAGGCAAAGCAGCACACAGATTGCTTTTTACATGGCTTTATACGAGTCTGCCAGTTTTCAAACCTATTTCTTAATACGCCTTTGAAGCTGCCTGTATCATCCACTGGACAAAATGTGCTCACCCTGATTCGATGTAACTAAAATCTCTCTCTCTCTCCCTCACACACACACACACACGCAACTCTGCCATACTGATATTTCCTGAGTGAAGAAAACAAAGAAGAAGAATTTTGTTGTTGTTCAGTCGCACAGTCGAGTCCGACTCTTCGCGACCCCATGGATCATCTCCCGCCAGGCCCTCCTGCCTTCCGCCGTCCTCTGAAGTTGGCTCAATTTCATGTTCGTTGCATCTATGACACTGTCTAACCATCTCATCCTTTACCGTCCCCGTCTTCTTTGACCTTCAGTCTTTCCCAGCATCAGGGTCTTCTCCAGTGAGTGCTCCCTTCTCATTGGGTGGCCAAAGTATTTGAGCTTCAGTTTCATTATCTGGCCTTCCAGGGAACAGTCAGGGTTGATTTCCTTTAGGATTGACTGATTTGATCTCCTTGCAATCCAAGGCAGTCC